GAAAATATAAAAATCATTAATACACACTAACTACACATTAGGAATACTTTTACATCAGATATATAGACACTATCATTAAACATATAAGAAATGTTACCATGTTTCATGAATACAGTGCTAAAGTTCCTTGACAGTTATCACTGACAATGCCATGAAGTCACTAAGTTATACCATAAAAATATACAAACTGAAATTATGCATACTACTTCAAATACTAATTGGTTAAGTGATACTTAACTAGATCACCAAGTAAATAATTCATAATTTGGCGCTTTGTGCTGTAAAATCATATTTCCAATTTTAGGAATCACTTCAAATTTTAGAATTATAGGTCAACCAAAAAATACTATTACTAGTGATTTAATTAATTAGTGCCTATATACTTATAATATCAAAAAAACTCTAGAAATGCATGGTTTATTAAAGGACTCATTGCTAACTATATTTAGATTCCATTCAGCTACTTAAGGACCACCGCTTTTAAATTCCTACTACAATTACAATGGCATTATGCCTGAAATTGTGAAAATACATAAAAATATACTAATATTTTATTCTGTCAATCAAACAGTATACTCACAATAATGTCTTCCATTCAAACAGATCATCATAAAGTTTACACAGCATAGCATAACTTGTAAGAGCATGGCCTTTTTAGCCCTGAGATTAAGTCCTGTTCAGATTCTGAGTCCACCAAATATAGTCATGTGACTCTAAGCAAGTTATATAAACCCTAAATCTTGGTTCTCTTATCTGAAAAGGGTGACAGAGTACCTACCTCAAAGAGCTGATAAAGTACTCAACACAAGCTGCTCAATAAAGTATTCTGCTTTGAAAAATAATGCAAACAGAATTATTCTGCAAATACTGTTATCACAGTATCCTGAGTTCAAGCTTAGACAGGATTACTAACTAAGCAAGTGACAGGTGACCTTTATCTGGCAAACCACTTAGCCTCTCTGAGATTTAATTTCTTTAGCTCTAAAATTTAGATACCAATACTTGCTCCTGCCCATCTTCAAAGATAATGAGGAGGGACAAATAAATTATCTAATTTAAATGCTACAATTGGCAAACTGTAATTTACTAAACACACCCATAGAACAAAATCTATATTTAAAACCATTTTCATTCTCTCAGAGAAACTGACTTTACCAACGCAAATAATGACCTCAATTTACTACTGAGATAGCTACCATGATGGCCCAAAGCATAACTTCACCTCCAACCTCTTCTCATCAACACCCAGAAATGGACTTAGTAAACTAGTTCACAAAAATAGCTAGAAAAGCTGCAAATATACAAATTCAACAGAATAAACACAGGAATATAAACTTAAAATTATTTCCTAAACTGAATGCAAACCCACAAACTGCAGTAAACAAATTAACTAAATACATTCCAAGCTTTCAAAATGTCCTTATTAAAAATAAAGCACTGAAGGGAAAAGAGAAACTTAAATGTTAGTATTTTGAGATTGGTTATTCTAACACTAAAGCCAAACATTATTTAGAAATATAAGTTTTAGGGTACCTGTCAAGACTATTTAAAAAGGGGATGTGGGGGTCCTTATTATGGGGTTCTTAGCCTGGTTCCTTGGACAGGCTGCAGTGGGGTCCTTAAACTGCAGGCAAAAGTGTGCTTTTATACCTGTATGTTTCCATGGTAAGAGTTCACAGCTTCAAATTCTCAGCAGGACTAGAGGTATAAATGGTAATATTAATTCTCTCACCAAAAACTGATGACAAACACAAGCTATTTATAATCTTTTGTTACCAACTTTTATTTTAACTAAATTATGGTCTGCCAGATTTTTAAATAAATATTTGAAGTCCCTACCATTATCAAACCCTCTGCGCATATCAGATATAAAGCAGTACTATCGGCATTAAGTCTACCCTTTCATTTAAAGCACAAAATTTTTACATTACACCAGTGTGTCCAGGCAGACTTCTTTTAAGTTTCACCAGTGTTGGTAAATTTGATAAGAAATAGGTTTTTGGTAATTTTTTTTCCTTTTTTGGTTAAAATCTCATGGGGAGTTATACTGAGAGATGAGTTCTGAGCACATTATTTGGGGACTTTAACTCTGAATTTCTAATCAAGGATGAGTGGATGCTCATCTTTGCACAACCTCTGGGGGAATAAAGGTACAGACTTAAGAGTATTGTGAGCAAGATTTTTTAAAAGATCTATAACCTACTTCAATTCAACAGGTTTTATCGAGTTCCAGCCATCAGGATTCCACCCAGTAAGGATAAACGTTACTATAATGAGATAAAGTAAGACCCTCTGTTCTCTAGAGACTTAAACTCTTATGTTTGGGATACAAGAACTGCAGGAAAAAAATAAAAAAGAGAGAGAGAGAACAATTTTACAAATGGGGGGGGGGACACAACTTATAATAGTCTGCTATAACCTACCAATAAAATTGCTGAATTTAGGGAAAAAAAAAAAAAAAGGAAGCATCATTATGAGGTTAGTGTTTAGGAAGCAAATTTTTAAACTGAGCTTTAAAGGAAATATTAAGAAATTGTCCTAAGTATTTTTAGAGCCCACTGACTTATAAACAAATAGGAAATCCTTATTTGTTCATTAAGACAAATTTCTTAGAGGGTCTGCATGGCCACATTTTGTGAACCTGATTCCACTAACTGTATACAATTAAAGGTAATAAAAGCTAAATTCTACTTCAAGATTCTCTACGTTTCTAAGTTTCCATAAATCTCCTGCATTTTTGACTGCTTCTAAACAAAGTTCTAGAGGTTTCCCAAATAATTCAGTAAGAACTTTCATGTCTCTTTTCAAGAGATAATAAAGATGAACAAACTTTAGTTTCTTTAGATACTATATTAAAGGTAGTTTTCCTAATTGAGTTCAAAATAACTTAAAACTTAATAAAATATTATTAAACCAGTTTTTCTTATATTGAAAGCAAAGATATGCTTTTCCTAATAAAACCATAATCACACAACTTATATGAAATATAAAACAGTTTACTAAAGTACGAAGGGCTTCACCTACATAATCACCATATCATAAACCACCTGCACCAAAAGTAAAAGTATCTCAAAATAAATACAAATAACCTTAAAATTCTAGGAAAATTTAGAATAACACAAATATGGGAAAGTCCAGTCTAAATATGTGCAAAATCTGCTTCCACCTGTCAGAAAGTAAACACACAGTTCAAAGTAAACTAGAACCATTCCATTTTTATTATTGCCTTGCGTTATTGAAGTAAAATTCAAACACACAAATAATCAAAATTCAAACGCAAACCAGAGGATACATTTTACAAATCCATTGTCTTAAAGAATCATATTAGGAAAGAGGTAGTTTGGAAGTTTTTGGAAATAACAGAACACAAATCCAAAACCCACATAAGCGGTTTGTAAATGATCATTTTCTCAACAATCAAGTTTTTGTAAATTAACCTTTTATCTAATACACCTCAACCAACTAGGCCTTTGGGCCCAGAAGTAGTGAACTTGCAACACAGCTTGTTTCTCTAGGATCAAATACTATCTTCCAAGAGTCGGAAATAAAAGAATCTGCCTTAAATATATATATATACATATGTGTGTGTGTGTGTGTGTATCAGCGTACGGTCGTTAATAATCAAAAGTATACGGAATAAGGCCTTTCCTTCCAGGAGACAGGCCATGACTATCCCGGGATGTTATCTGTAGTACAGTGCTCTCCTTAATAAAATTTACCATTAAAACGACGAATGGTACGCCAAGAAAAAAACATCATTAACTTAAAAAAAAAAAAATAGGTATGAAGGTTCCAATCATGACTATCACAGTTCATTTTCAGCTATTTCAGGACTGGCAGAAAAGCTTAATACACCCACACACCCCCAAGGGAGGGGAAAACCAGCAACCTCCTCCTCGGGAGTTTAATGAAAATTAGCAGGTAAAAGAGGCCTCCTCAGCAGCATGCTGAAAATCAAAGAGGGCGGCCGGAGGGCCGAAAGGTTCGGACTGCGGAGGAGAGCTACGTCCTCAGACCCCACCTCCCTTCACCTTCCCGGCAGGACGAAAAAGGCGAAGGCTCATTAGTGCCTTCGTTAATTGACACCTGTAATGAGGAAACTTTCCGAGAGGTAAGACCGCCCAGGCCCGGCCTGGCCGGAGCTCCGGAACGGCCCCCTCTCGGGCGCCCAGGTAACCGGGCCGGGCTGGGCCCGAGGCGCCTCGGCAGCCGCGCCACCGCGCACCTTCCCGGGGCGCTAGGCCCGCACGCCGCCCGGCTCGGCCGTCGCCTCCCGCAGGCCGCGGCAGCCCGGGGAGCTGCGCGGGGTCCCCAAACCGTGTACCCCCACAGGCCGCCGCCGCAGCTACTTACTTTCATTTAACACCTCCACCAGGTCTGCGCAGTTCTCGCACATCGTTCGGCCGCCGCCCCCCCCCTCCCCCGCTTCGGATCGCACTGACTGATCCCGACCGGCGGGGGGGAGGGGAGAGAGGCGGAGGAGGGGGCCGGCCGGCCGGCGGGGCGGGGAGGCGACGAGGGCGGGCGGCGGCGGGGACGGGGCGGAGAGCAGGAGTATGGGGGAGGGGGCCGGCGGTCCCCGGAGCGGGCGGGGGAGAGGAGGGGGGCGAGGGGAGGTGCGCAGGCCGGAGGGGCGCCGAGGCGCCGGCGGCGGGGAAGGAGGGGGAAGGACGGGGGGAGGGGAAAGGGAGGGAGGGGGCGGGTGGGGAGAGAAGCAGCAGAGTCACTTCACCGACCAGACGCCGCGGCCACCGCTGACGCCGCCGCCATTTTAATACAGCGTTCGGGCTGCGCTCGGCTCTTTCCGCCCGAGCGAAGGGGCCGACGAGAAACGCCTCCCGCCCTCTCTTCGCCTCCCGCCCTCCCTTCGCACACACGCCGCACGCTCCACACCCCGCCGCGGCCGCCTGGCCGCCCTCCCTTTCCTCTTCCGTCCGGCCTCCCCGCCCTCGGTCCACCCACTCCGCGCGCTCGCCCACCCCGCCCAGCCCGGATCTCTGTCAGCGGCCGGAAGGGAAACGCGAAGCGAGCGCGGCTGCGGGGGGGAGTCCGGGTGAGTAGGAGAAGATGGCGGAGACACCGAGCGGCCCGCGATTGCGCGGCGTCGCCCACGGCGGCCCACTCCGCGGGCTGCGAGGCCTAGCGAGTGCCGGGTCACTCGCGCCGCCCTGTTCCCCGCCCTTGCGCTTCGCCATTTTTCCTTCGGGCCCCCGAAGAGGGATTGGCGGCGATTTCTCCCTCCCCGCTCTCGGGTTTTGGGGATGAGGGAGGCACGGTGCACAGGGGAGCCGGGCCGGAGCGACGCTGCAGCCCAAATTGGGGCACACGGTCCTCTCCCCTCGGGGCTTTGTGAGAATGGAACAGCCCACGGGCGGCGTAACCTGCATCCGTGTTGATCGCTACCCTCGACTCTGTAAGACTCATCCGTCCTCCCGCAGTAAGACACCTTGATGTGACTAGAAATGGCGGAGTGAAGAGCGTTCACATGGCATCTCCTCCCATTTACGCGAGAGGGCCCTGCACCAATTGCCCGTCTACGGCTTTTCACCTGAAATAGCTATTCTGCTTCTCAGCGAAGAGCAGATCGCCAGGGTATTAAGATAGGGACAAAACAAAGAACAGGTGTAGGAAAGGGGACGCCCAGCTGAAGTTGGTTAACAACTAGTTAGCATTAGGAAAATATTTCCTCATACCCTCACTGATTCCTATATCCAGTACATTTTATAGAGATGTGACTGAATAGTCCAAAAGGGAGTGTACGTAATCTTAGAACTATAACCGGAGCAGCTATTCAGACCCTGTAGTAATTCTTTTATAGGTTTTATCGAGGTCCCGTCCCAGCGTCTTCCCATGCTAGGACCCCATTGCCGGTGTTCTTTGCCTTTCTGCTGCTCCAGCTTGATGGTATAAAGTTTCTGCCCACCTGTTCTCCAGTGCTCCATATGAGCAGGTGAGCAGGTGATCCTTCGAAGCTGTAGAGAGAATTCTGCCATCATCTTCCTTTCCCATATTTACTATAAAACTTGGGTTTCTGCAGACTTGACTTTAATCCTTGGCCATCCAGCATCCGTTCCCACCCACCCGTCTTCCCTGCCAACAGGGACGCTTTCCAAACCCAATTTTTGTTTTATTTTTCAGGTGGCATTTAGAGACTTGGAACTCCGGAAGGAAAGCCCCAAGGAATATTTGTTACTGGTTTAAAACAGTCATGGTAGGGCTGAACCTGTGTTTGAGTCCTTGCCAGTGAAATGTGAGCAGAAATCTGCAGAGTGGATCTTTTGGAAAGAATTGCCAATTACTAATAAAAAAGGGACAAATTCAGTAGTCATCACCCTTATCCCTTCTTTCTGCCTGAAACATGGTCTTGATTTACAAAGTAATACAGCATCTGTTGTCTAGTTTTTGTTTCTGTTTTTTACAATGAAACCACAAATAAGATAAAAGCGAACTATACAGTTGATAGTGCAGAAAATTAAGATGTGGGTCTCTAATACATCCTAGAGCAGCAGTTCCCCATGCCCCCCTAGTTATGTCTGTCCCATTTTCTTTAAGCCACTCTTAGGTTTCCATTACTTGTGGCCAAACACATTTCTGATACAGAAAGTGAGGACAACAACTATTACCGTACATGTGGAGAGTACTTCTAGGATGTATTGAAGACACAGTCTGATCTTCAAAGAAAAAATTTTTTTTAATAATTGCTTCCTAGTTGTGGGTTTGTTTGTTTGTTTGTTTTCCCCTTTACAAAGTTACTTTAGATGATACTTGATTTAGTATTCTTTGAGGAGAGCCTGGGTGGCACAGTCATTTGGCATCTGACTTGGTTTCAGCTAGGCTCATGGATCACTGGGTTGTGAGATGGAACCCTTTACCAGGCTCTGGGCTTAGTGTGGAGTCTGTGAGATTCTCTCTGCCCCTGCCATTTGTGTTCCCTCGCTCTTTCAAATCTTTTAAAAGAATAAAATAAAATGCTTTGAGAATCTAGAGTATTATTGTCATAAATGATCATTGCTTTTACCATAAAAGGCCAGAAAGTAAGTATTATAGGCTTTACAGGCACCCCAGCTTTCTATTACAACTACTCAGCCCTATTAAAAACAACCATAGATGGGGCACCTGGGTGGCTCAGTTGTTAAGCATCTGTCTTTGGCTCAGGTTATGATCCCAGGGTCCTAGGATCAAGCCCCATGTTAGGCTCCAGTAGGGAGCCTGCTTTTCCCTCTCCTGGCTCCCCAACTCATGGTCTCTCTCGCTATCTCTCAAAATCTTTTTTAAAAGGCGGGGGGCGTGTTCCTGGGTGGCCCAGTTGGTTAAGCATCTGCCTTCAGCTCAGGTTATGATCTCAGCGTCCTGGGATCAAGCCGCCCTTCAGACTGCTTGGTGGGAAGTCTGTTCCCACTCGCTCTCCCTCTGTGCTTTCCCCTTCCCCCAAATGAAATCTTTAAAAAAAAAAAAAAAAAGGAGGGCAGCACCTGGGTGGCTCAATAAGCTGAGTGTGGACTCTTGATTTCCAGTCAGGTCATGATCTCAGAGTTGTGGGACAGAGCCCAAGATCAGGCTCCATGCTCAGCAGGGAGACTGCTTGAGATTCTTTCCCTCTGCCCCTCGTCGCACAGGTGTGTTCTCTCTTTAATAAGTAAATAGTGTAATGAAGCAGAATCTCTGCCAAAATATCCCTAGATTCTTATAAATAAGAATTTCCGAACCAGTAATCAATAATCACTATACACCTTCAATAGCTAAAAGATTATTTTTAATATTTTATATACATGTCACCATCTAGTGGTAGAATCATGCTTTGAGTAAAATTATATAATCTATGAAATTGCTAATTCTTGAATTTGTAATACATGTCATATATTCCTAGTTGTTTACCTGAAAACCAGCCTCAAGTAAACGACTACGGAAAACTAATACTGCCAGTGAAATTATTTGCTCTTCTTAGCTTTCTGGTTGTTATTATTGAACATAGGGTTTTTTCTCAAGTTTGGACTTAAAGCTTAATAGTTACTATCAGAAGCCAGAATTATTGCAGAATTTACTCTTGACCCTTATACCCATACTTGGCAGTGTTTTGTGGAACTTAGGGCCCTTATTAGAAGGAAAGTATGCTGTTTTATTCTTTCCACAGTACCCAGCCCAATTCTGTATATAAGCTCAGCAAACTACTGTTTGGTTCTTAACTTGCTAGAGTGTTTATTTTTAGAAATAAATTGGATTATATCACTTTTCTGCCTAAAGCCCTTGAATATTTCCTGTCACATTTACATATTTATTTAAGGTATCTCTACATTCAGTGTGGGGCTTGAACTCACGACCCTGAGATCAAGAGTCCCATGCTCTTACTACTAAGCCAGCCAGAAACCCTCTTCCTATTGCATTTAGAATAAACTCTACTTGGGAGGATGCCTGAGTGGCTCAGAGAGTTAAGTATCTGCCTTCAGCTCAGGTCATGATCCCAGGGGTCCTGGGATCAAGCCTTGAATTGGGCTCCCTGTTCAGTGGGGAGCCTGCTTCTCCCTCTCCCTCTGCCTCCTGCTCCCCCTACTTGTGTGCTCACACACTCTCTCTCCTTATCAAAATAAATAAAACCTTAAAAAAAATAGAATATTATAGTACTCTATCCATTTCTTTCATAGTTCTTACTAATGTCTAGAATTACTTTATTTCTGTATATTTGTATTGGGGCACATTGGACTGCAAGTAAACAATTTTTTAATTAAGAATGGCTAAACGGTTAAGCGACTTCCTTCGGCTTGAGTCATGGTTCCAGGGTCCTGGGATCAAGACCCTCATTGGGCTCCCTGCTCAGCAGAGAGCCTGCTTCTCTCTTTCCTTCTGCCTGCCGCTCTGCTTACTTGTGCTGTCTCTCTATCTCTCTGTCAAATCAATAAATAAAATTTTTTAAAAATGACCTAAACAACAGAACTTATTTTTCTCTTGTAACAAACAAGCAATAGATAGTCCAGTCCAGGGTTGGTACAGTGGCTCAAAGATACGGACCCAAGTTCTTTGTTCCTTTCATTTCACCGTCTAAATATTGGCTTGTCACCTCCTAGTTGAAAGCTAGCCACTACAGCACCAACTGTCTGCTTTAAAGACAAAAGGAGGAAACGTGATGATGGCCCATCTTGATTTCAGTTGCCTACAAAGAGGTCCTGAGACAAGGACAGAAGTGGAAATAGTTTTATTTTTATGTGATCCCAAGAAACATTGATGGGATAGTGGAGAAGTGAGATAGGAAATGGAAGAGTAAGTATCCAATAAAAGATCCATTATCCCTTTAACCTAAGAATAACTAGAGCCTAATTCCCCAGGTAAATTTTACAAACCAATAGGAAACATGTGCCTTAAAATCATCCTACCACAAAAACAAACTCATCTTACCCAAGGGACAAGGAAAGCTAGGTACGTACATCTACTCTCCTTAGTCACTGACTTTTGCTAGAGGAGAGGTTGTGGGGCAGCAAAGTAGGCTTCTCCTGGCTCAGGCAGCTAAAGAAAACCCTACAGCATAAAAATGTAGGTACTCGCAGTTGGAAGTCTGGCCACTGTACACTGAAGTGATAAGAATTAGGGGATATGGACAGAGCATAGTGACAGCATCTGGTACACCCCTTTTCCCTCTTCTGTTTGGCTCGAAAATAATTATGATAATCTGGAAAAGCAGCAACCATCCTGAAACAATAAACCTGTAGGCAAAAAGCAAAAGCCAAGGCATGGAAGATGGCAAAAGGGAAAAAGAAAAGGCCTGAGTCCCTGGTGGCATTGTTCATCAGCTGAATCGGTGCTTGCAACTGCCTACTTGTTGCTACGTAAGATGTTTTGTTATCTAACAAACAAAACCCTAAAGCCACTATTAGAGTATTTGTAGCCCAATGCAGTCATAAGAAATAGTGTGGTAGTTAGAATAATGCCCCTAACCCTCAAAGATGTCTATATCTTAATCCCCAGAATTTGTGAATATGGTACCCTACATGGCAAAAGGGACTTTCCGGATACAGACCTTGAGACAGGGAGATTATTTTCTATTCATGTGGGCTCAATTTATTACATGGGGCTTTAAAATGAGAGAACTATTCCCAGCTTTGTGCAAAGGGAGCTGTAACTACACAAGAACAGTTGGAAAGATGCAACATTCCTGGCTTTGAAGATGAAGGAAGTGGGCCATGAGCCAACAAATGTGGGTGGCCTCCAGAAGCTGGAAAAGACAAGGAAACAAATTCTCCATTTCAACCTCCAGAAAGAATCCCAGCCAGTCCTGTCGACACCTTGATATAGCCCAATGAGACCCATGTTGGACTACTCACAGGACTATAAAATGATGTTTGTTAAGACAAATTTAGTTTTAAGCCACTATATTTGTGGTAATTGGTTTCAGCAGCTATAGAAAAGTAATAGAAGAGGCATGCAGATAAAGAGAACAGCATAGGAAAACCCTTGAGACAAAATTCCTTGCCTGTTTCTAGAAACAGGAATAAAGCCACTACGACTAGAACATAGTTGGGAGAGAAGGCCCATGCCAGACATAGCGGAGCACTGCAAACTTTGTTAAGATTTTCATCTAGATCCTAAAAAACAATAGAAAGCTTTTAAGTATATAAGCAACACAATCAGGTTTTTATTTTAAAATATTCAGACTAAAAGAAAATATTCAGACTGATGTATAGAGAATAGATTAGAGATAGGAACAACTGGGAGTTAATAATACAGAAAGATGATAGCTTGGACTAGGGTAATAGGAAATAAATGGAGAAAAGGGAATCCATTCTAAGAACATTTTGGAGGGGAAAAGAACAAGACTTGATTGATGGGTTTGGGAAGAAGAGGAAATATTATCAGGGCTGTCTCCAGATAAGAGATTTGTCCAACTGAGTAAATGATGGTGCCATTCACCAAGTTAGGGATCACTTAAAGGAGGACCAGAGGGAGAGGGAATCAATAATGACAAGTACTATTTTGGGGTTTTTGTTTGTTTGTTTAAAGATTTTATTTATTTGACAGAGAGAGATAGCAAAAGAAGGAACACAAGCAGGGGGAACTGGAGTGGAAGAAGCAGGCTTCCCGCTGAGCAGGGAGGCTGACACGGGGCTTCAACCCAGAACCTTGGGATCATGACCTGAACTGAAGGCAGACTGAGCTACCCGGGCGCTCCCCCCAAAAATGAACTTTTAAAAAATTAAGAAGAGTAGAGGAAGAGACAATGCCCCCAAAGAGTTTAAAGAATATACTGGGGGTGGGGGGTGGGGCGCCTGGGTGGCTCAGTCAGTGAAGCAGCTGCCTTCGGGTCAGGTCATGATCCCAGGATCCTGGAATTGAGCCCCACATTGGGTTCCCTGCTCAGCAGGGAGCCTGCTTCTCCCTCTCCCTCTGTCTGCTGCTCTGCTGGTTTGTGCTCTCTCTCTGTCAAATAAATAAATAAAATCTTAAAAAAAAAAAAAAGAATAATCTGGGGGAGGGATTTTGATACCATTTAAACTGAAGAAGAAGTACTCAAAAATGATGAAGATGACAATTGTTGAAATCTGCAAAGTCAACTAAAATGAACTCTACAGGGGCGCCTGGGTGGCTCAGCGGGTTAAGCCTCTGCCTTCGGCTCAGGTCATGATCTCAGGGTCCTGAGATCGAGCCCCGCATCGGGCTCTCTGCTCAGCAGGGAGCCTGCTTCCTCCTCCCTCTCTGTCTGCCTCTCTGCCTACTTGTGATCTCTGTCTGTCAAATAAATAAATAAAATCTTTAAAAAAATAAAATAAAATGAACTCTACAAAATATTCATTAGATTTAGCACATGGGAGGTCATGGGGAAG